CACATCTTTCTAGAAGATTTCTAGCGCCGCGATACGTACCTCTCTTAGCTTTGGGAGCTGCAAGGGTGTACCTAGGTAAGGACCTAGTACTAAACGGGCTGGCTTGGCCTGGACTGGCAGGCTGGGTGCTATTCACGTGAAATCCTCAACTTGGTTGAAATAGTGGGGTGATCCCCCCTCAAGCTCGAAAGCAGGCGGCTTACATAAAGAATCAGCTTTAGCACATGATTTTATCCAGATGACTCCACACGAGCTCCAGAAAGACACCGAGAGTCCGTCCAATCTCGGTCTACTTCATAATACCTCATAAGAATACCTCATAAGAATACCTCATAGGAATACCATCCTCTTTGTAATACCGCCGAAAGAGGGACACACCATGGCTAGATGGGACGGCGAGGCGAGTAAGAGGCGCAACGCAAGAGGCACGTCACGCGAGAACTTGCGAAGTGGCTGGCTAGCTCATCGAGGAATCAGGCAAGGTAAAAGGGGAGAAGAGAATGAACGCGCGCCTCGAGCACTTTCGGAATTGTCGAAATCCCCTTATTGACTTTGGAGTTATTGACCATGTTACGCGTCCAACGTTGTCGCGAGGGAGGGGTTCCCAAGTTTGCCCTCTTCCCGTCCAACCTAATGTACGGCAAGCCCTTTTCTTATTTTCCTTTAATAACAAACATACAGCGTATATCACATGCCCGAGCTCTTACGTGCACCCTGGAACTTTGCGGGTCATTCCATTTGTCAGGGAAACTCTGATGTGCCGGGCCCTGGCAGAGGTTCTGGGGACGAGTCGTAAAAACCCAACCGGGAGAAGGCAATCCAGCGGCGTGGGATATAAACGTCCGTTCCTTTTTTTTTGTTTCCTTTTTTAGCGGCTTTCTTAATGGCTTTTTTCTCTAACCACGTGGAAGCCGAGACCCCGGGACGGCCTGGGCTAACGGCTAACGGGTTCGAAGGTTCAGTTCTCGTATGTATGTGTACCTGTCGCTTGTACACCGCCGGCCCTTGCAAGGTGTGGAGCGTGCTAGATAATTTCGCGGACGCCAGACGTCGTCATCGCCCATTGAAATTATCAATGGCCCGACCGCTTCTACTGCTACCTTCATCACCTAATTCTCGTCACCACAGCAGAAGGAATGAATTTCCACTAATTCTCTTACTATGCCGCGAGATCTCCGAAGCTAGATGGAGCCCGGTACCACCTACACATGCGCATTCCTGAGCTATGTTTCGGTACAAGTGGACGCGTAGGTAAGAGGCCGGCAGTGCTCAACCCAGATCCCTGGCGGTCTGGTACAGATCCGCGGTACGGTGCTCACCTCTGCGGCGCCGGTGAAGATAGCCGGCCCCGAAACGCGCGCCAGCTGGGTCGCGGAGCTTCACCCGGCGAAGAGCCATGTAACGTCGGTCTGACAGTGCCAACGGCGAGCTCCCTCTGTCACCGTCCTCGTATCAGGTCATCACTAATGCGAAGCCACCAAGTCGACTGCTTTCATTCGGACGTAGTTAGATCGTCATGCGAATCACCAGCCGCGTCTATGGGGCATATCTACGGGAATAGGCCTTCCCGAGAATAGTCCAGCAGCAACATCATTGGTGCAGTGTAGCGTGTTCCCATCGCGTATACTGCAGCTCAAAAGCCATTTGCCCTACGTGTGTAAACACCCCAAGGTTCAGTTGCCCATGGGTTTGAAAAATCCGAAAACATGATAAAAATAATAGCTTTAATTATTTTTTTATTCCGTTGTTTTATTATTTTTGAATTTATCGAATTATTTAAGTTCTCGAAGACGCGGCGCCTCCGATCCTAGATTTAGTTCGGAGCCGCGCTGGAGACCATAGGCGCTAGCATCCGAACCAAAACTCTGGGAACGAGAACAAGCAAGAGATGAAAGAGAGTCTCCTCCCCAGTCTCGCGGAGAGGTCCCTGTTGAGCCACCCTTGGGTATTAGCTCGAAGAAAACCGACTGAGCCCATTACGCGCCGTCAGCTGACTACGTACGGCATTACGTGATATAGTGTCTTTCCCGGTACACTGGATACTATAAATCTGGATTTCCCATTTGGCATGTGGAGACAGAGCTATCGTAGCTATCCCGCCGTCATAAATAACTAGTAGTAGGTAGGCAGGCGGTCTCGTGCTGGGCTAATAGAAAACAGACTATCTGTCATCTCTCCGAGTGAGCTAGTTTAGTCAATTCATATGCCATCGCCGTCGATCCAGCACCAAGCACAAGAACAGCGAGGCCTCCGGAATGGACGTTCATGGATAACGGCTGAAGGCATCCAGCTGTTGAAGAAGGGTGTCACCAGCCACCTCTGGGTCTGTCGTAATAGAGTTTCGCTAACCCGCTGGTTTGTTCGCGCGTGCCGAGGCTAGCTTTGCTAGTTCTTCCTTTGAAAAGGGTTCGTGTCTTCGAATAGACAAGTACCGGTGCGAGGGAGGAGGGTGTGAGATGCGTTCATCTTCCCGAGGCAATGTTGCGTTATGGTTCATATGGCCGACTCTTTCCCGAGGAACTCGATTCAAATCAGACATGTAGATGCCTCTAGCCTAGCACACATGTCAACGTGTTAGTCAAAAGCATTCTGGGCTCGTTGGAGATCTGTGTGGCGAGGACTCGTGCGGTCTGGAACCGGGGCCGGTCGAAGTCTATTTTGACTCTCCTCTCTACCCGGATACGAGAGACGCCAGTTTCCCCAACCGCAAGAATGGGGAAATAAAGGTTAACCTGAATAAAGCTGGGGATGGGCGGGTATGGCGCGTCGTGTTAAAGGAGGGGAGGAGGGTTACCAGATGGCTGGAAAGTTCGGCATGTGGTTGCTCTAAACGGCGAGCTGGTAACCGCTAGAGCTACCTAGTTAAGTAACTCTTGTAGACCGAGCTGCCGGTGAGAAAACCAGTACTGCTGATTGGATTCGAAACCCATCTTCTAGAACCACAGAACTCTCGCGAGCGAAAGCTTACTACGCGCGCGATCATCTCCTGCTTACCTTTCGTATTTATTTGATCATCTAAGCACTGCCAAGCCGCGCGTGACCTATTGTACTTTCTCGCTACAAATTTCGTCTTGAGAAATAAGGGCGCGCATAGCGGTAACATGCTTCCTTGGCTTTGGACACGTTCCTTGGAAAGAGAAAAGCATTGGCCCCTATCGGGTGGTGAGACACTATCTGGATAATGGTAAAACGCGACAAGCCGAGCCCCTATTTAATAAGGGGTAAGAATCATTATGGTTCGCCTCAATGTAAAAAGTGCTAGATCTTTATATTCCTGCGCAAGTTTTACAGTGAGCCCGATGTTAGCATGGAAGTATTCGTGACATTAGTGCAAATAGGGGGTTGCCTCGCATGGGTGAGCATGTCTGTGTACGGATTTCCCAAAGCTGCGCCACAGAAATCTGAAGATATTATCCCAAATATCATAGCACTTCTAAGGTTTTTTAGCGCAAAGGCGTTATGTCAGTTATATGTTAGTATGTTCTGATACATTATGGTCTTTCTATCTCTAGGAGTTAGAGAAAGGTCCCCTTTCAGGGAATAGAGAGAATCAGCTAATTGGGCGCTCACACATTTCTTAAAGGCAATAAACAGGCCGAACCAAGAAGCCAGTGCATGATAAGATTCCTAAGGTATTGAGTCTTGCATATTTTTCGTCGAAGCCAGCCATATCGATTCTGTTTTATCAAGGGAAGGGAGCAACAAGAAGACAATACACACAATTACTCCAGAATACTTGAATAAACAAGTAGATTCAAAGTGATAGCAACAATAAGATATATCCTCTTTTGAAATTCTTAATGCTGAAGAGATGATTTTATCCTGGGAGCCGGTCTGGAGCACTTGTAGTATGGGCATAACTTATTGTACATAGGAGGTAAGTAGGTACCTATCATAAGACGTCATCTCTACCCGCTCGCTTTAGCACCATAACAGTATCTAGGTAGCTTAAGTTAAGACTTTTCTCGTAACAATATGGGTTTGATAGAGAAAATTTCTCTGTGTCCTTGCAGAAAGTTTTGGATGGTGCAATGGCATATGAGAGAAAATACGACAAGGCGTCTTTCGATATCCTGTCTCGTGCATAGGCTACTACCTCTTGAAGGCCTCCGGGAAAAATGAACATACATGAGATATAAACATGTAAGAGTATAAGAGCTTTGCCATTATAGAGTGTAAAAATTTCTTGTTTGTAGTGTTCTTGGGGTGTTTTTTATAAGACTAGGTAAAGATCAAGTAACCCCGCTACGGTACCTAATAGTGTAAGACAAAGACTTCTTCTCTCATTCAGAGTTCTTTTATCCCTTTTCGTTTCCGTGACTGGAAGCAGTCTGCTTGATGTTCCTCATTTCAGGCTGAGGATACTTTTATACGTTACCTCTCATTGCAGACGTATTGAAAATTCAAGGTGATCATAACCTACGACAGGAAAAACAAGATGTAAGATGTTTGGTTTGCTAGACGAGAAAGCGAAGGATAGGTGGGCTAAATATCCCCCAGAGCAGAGACGACATGGGTGGTCTGTGGTTGCTGGGTCATAATCCAGCTGCTTTCACAGTACGATGCCAATTAAGTATTTAAAAGTCGATTACTAGGCAGCTATCTTACGAACTTATCTCAAATATAGAGGCTCATGTGGTTGTGGCTGATAAAGACCAAGTGTGAGGGTAGTGGGGATAAATAGGGGTTAGGGGTTCAGGTTTAGTAGTAGACAATGATAAGAAATGATCTCCTCGAGAGGAAGGCGAACTCATGATAAGATCAGAAAGTAGGAAGAATGAAAAAATACCTTCCTGAAGATGAAAGCTGAAGATGAAAGCGAACCCATAATAAGGACAGAAAGTCAGGGGGGGGGATACTCTCTTCGAGATAGGGGCGAAACCCACGACAGGGGCAGAAAGTGGAAAAAAGGAAAGAAAAAAAGGGAGGGGGGAGGGAGGAAAATAGAAAAAGTCTCCTCCAGAGGGAAGTGAACCCACGCCGCCGACTGTAAAAATATCTGCATCCACCGGGGTTTGCACCCGGGTCTTTCTCTAACCACTACACCAAATGGTTGGAAGGGGAATGAGCTAGACTGCTGCTCCATGGATGCCTTAGCTGGGAGGCTTTGTTCTGTAATCGGCGACTTTATTTGTTATTATAAGTCTTTCTTTGCAAGTTGCTAATTCTGAATAGGGGAAGCACCCGCTCTCCCAAACTTATGCGAGCTCATGCTCATTGCGACTACGATACAAACTAATCATCACGGGGGGCGGTTGATTCATAGCTAGTCACATAGCAGCACTTAAAGAAAGATCATAGAACTCCAGTCAACTACATCTTACTCAAGAAAAGGAAATATAAAAACTTGAAGCTATTCCCACCCCCTTTCTTTGCATGAGTATAACATCCATTCACGACTTTCACTGGCACAAGACGACAGAAGCATCAACACTCAGGTATACCAAATGAATGAAATAATACGCAGACAGAAAAATAATTCACGCAAGAGAGGTATCTCCGTTATTTATCATAGACATCTACACCATAAACTAGCTAGAAGTGATCTACCACCTAGGCTCACCCCTTTCCACCTTTGGCGTTACAACTGCATTCCTATCGGCAAAGGGATCGTTTTCATCCTCATCCACATAATAATCCTCTTCATCTGACTCTGGCTGGGGGGCGCGACGTGGAGCTATCACAGGTTTTGAGGCAGCAGACGGCCTCGGAGGCGGCACTGGCCTAGGGGGAGGACTGGGATTGATGCTAAGATGAGCTATTTCTGGCACAGGGCTCGATGGGCTTGTCGGGGACGTTGCCTGGCTGTGTTTCTCGGTCGCCACTATAACTCGGTTAGCAACAGATGAAGGGATTCCGTGTGGGAGATAACTTGCTCCTGTAGAGGTGCGCCTGCTCTGCTATCTCGTCATCCGAATCGCTGTCGGCATCGATCGATCGATCCAGTTGCTCATAGGTCATGAGAGCTAAAACAAGCTCGTCATTGGCATGGAGGAGACCGCCGAGCCATTGCTCGTCCTCGACATGGTGAATCTAAAGAAGTCAGTACATGATCTTGCATAATATGAGTCAAAAACGTACATAGCGCAAGATCTTCCTTCTCAGCTTTTTACAAATTTCGAACCGCTCGACTGCTGTGGCATTTTCCGAGATCCTTTCTCTCTCTCTGTTTATGCTCTGAAGAGCATTTGTCAGATTAGTAGCCGCAATTGAGGACTCAGCAACTGCGACTTTCATAGAGTCCTTTTCGGCTTCAAGGTTAAATGGTTTCTGCTTTCTCTTGCCCTTTTCCTTATCCTTTTTCTTCTTATCCTTAGAGGAACTGGAGAAGAAGGAACCTGAGCTAGACGGTGACTTGACATGGCTGAAAGACTGGACAGTCTGGGCGGGTTGGGGGTAGGTAACCGGCTGTCGTGAGGATGAAGCCTGAGACGGGGAAGCTTGGGGGGGCTGTTCAGCTTCGTCCTCGGAATCACGAAAGGGGTCCTGCTCCGTTTCACGGAGGACCTTAGACTTGGCTTGGGTGACAACTTGTTTGCGGCGAGGAAGTTCCTATAATTGTTAGCGAATTGTTAGCTTTGAGGGTTTCTAATGGGGCCAAGTTCTTACTTTGTAGAGCATGGCGACTCTCTCGAGGCCTGGGGTACTCTTGTATTCTGTTGCCCAGCTTCTGAATAATTCCAAACACTTCTTCTTGACATCGGGATCAGATAAGTCCGAAGTGCCGCAAACGCGCAGGCGCTCAAGCAGGGGCTCATCGATGAAAGTTCTCTGGAAGCGCGGGCCAGCGTTTTGAATCAAACCATCAAGAAGTACAAGAGCCCTCAATTGTCGATGGACGTTGCCATACTTCAACTTCTTCCTGAGAGCGCGAGCAGCTTCTGCAGGACCTGAAGCTTGTAGCTTGATGACCTCGACCAGGTCAGGGATGCCACTGAGGTCGTCCTCTTCATACTGCTCGCTAGTGAGGCGTTCCACCGTCACCGTAACAGCGGAGTAGGGCTTCTTCTGTTCGAAAAGTCAGACCAGAGACCTGTTCCGTTTGACAGTGTATCAACATTAGACAGGGGAAATATTAAGGGGTGGAGGTGAAGTTGAAGTTTTTGATACAAAGCAAACATAACGGGATTTGATAAGGTGCAGGGTCTGGGGACTACCAATGCACAATCCCGGCCCGACGCGTGCCCACTCACCTGGGAAAACATGTCTGCAGGTGTACAGCAGATAGGGTTCTGACGTCAACCTAGATAAGTTTCTGAACGAAAAGTACATAGGTAGAAACCTATACCTAAATACTAGATATCGTAAGATACTTGAGCAAAAGCCAGGTCCTAGGTATGTGACAGCTACAGCCTCAAAGGAGTTGGCGGCTATGGCTATGGCGAGGGGGGGTGCGCGTGCGCATGTGGCCCAAGGCAGACGGGAGTATGTCGCGAATGACTCGTTAGAAGTCAGGCAGGCTACCGAGCTGAGCTGTAGTTTGAAGCAGGCTGACAATATAGAATCCGAAGTGCAGTCTGCAGTCTGCAATCTGCAGTCTGCAGTCTATCTGACTCAAAGTGAGTTGGACCTATTGCAAGATGATAAGACTCTAGGACTAAGGCGCAGCGGCAGGGCTGAGGCTGCAGTGTCAGTCTGGCTTCTGACTTGGACAGTTTTGCGTACAGTTTTGCGTCGGCAAAAACAGTTGGGACCCCGACGAGCGATGGAATCACCACTTTAGGTGTACCACTGAAGTGTACCACTCAAGTGTCGAGAAGCTGTGCGAGGTTCACGTCGCTGTTGTCATGTGGAAGCCGAAGGTGGGGTGAGATAATTAATCTAAATCGTATCACAAATGGAGGGGCTTTCTCCTAAATGAATATATGTGGATATTACCTAGACTTAGGTATTCATATTAGTCTATCGAGTCCTGCCAAATCTTTGTCGCTATTCTCAACTATGTGAGCGCCTTCTCTATCTGAATGTTATATTAAGGTTATAGGTAGGTATGAAAATAGGTACCTAGGAGGTAGGTACCATGTTAAGAGTGGAAGTTACTCAACTCGCTCGAGGTGGGTACAACTCTCTTCATTGGGATCAAGGGTAACTACTAGTACCGTATTGTATTGTATTGTATTGTATTCTCACAGTTCCATCATGCCACCTCGAAATTGTTGCCAGCTATGCTATCTATTTATTAACCGTGTACGATACCAAAGGTGGGCTTCGTACCAAGTAGCGCTATTCTCTACGAGAACGACTGCGAAGGCAAAATGTATACCAACTTCAATCCCACACCTTCTGAGAGTAGCTTTACGCCAATCAAGAAACCTCCGAAATCTGACCCGATAAGCACCTCTAGCCTTCGTCGTCCTGCCTCATCTGTTGCTGATGAAGAGATACACAATGTCTCCTCGGGAGAAATCAGCCTCGACGCCCATAACCGGAACCTAAAACGCAATCGAACGACCTATGGCGGTGATGATGTCCGCCGATCTAAACGCCAACTATCCCAACCAGCCACGCCCTCAGATAGCCCATTCCAGACCCTAAGAGTCACAAAATCTAGCAACATAAGCAATCGAAAATCCCATATCAAGGCGGAAGATACGTCTAGTTGTGATGATGCATCTCAAGCGCAATCTACCGGTCCTCGTCCACCAGGACTGACCACCATCGAGCAACTGACACCTTACCCTGCTAAGGAGTCCCACGAATCTAGGCGCCAGCTAAATCAAGATAACGAAGCCGAATACGTGGATGGATTTAACGTAGAAGCCGACCCCCATTTTAGTAATGACGAGCTTGTCCCTGCAACACCTTTTACAACTTGCACGATGGATTTCATCCGGGAACCCCTCTTCAGTATACCATTTGAGCAGTCTGCCAACTTCGCAGACACTTTCAATTCAAGCGACCCAATATTTCAACGTGCTATCGATCGTACCGACGAGTACGTGACTACGCCGGTTAGTCGGAATGTCGATGCTACCTGTGATTCCGAAAATGAATATCCCCTTGACGATGACCTGGTGGACGAAGACATGACTTCTCTTCTCGACTTGGCTCCAGATAATGTTCAAGAGACACACGTGCCACCTTCTAGCGTCACCATATCATGGGATCACGACTCAAGGTCTGCGGCCGAATATGACCCAACTTTGCAGTACTCGTCGCCGCTAAGTCCCTCGGAAGCATTGAAACGGTCGCAAGCGGTGGGCGCGACTGAAAAGCTCGGGGTCGGTCAGGATGATCTCCTTGACGAAGACGTTGACTGGAATACTGTGTATGCTTTGGTGGACAAGATCCCGAAAGTACCTGTTTCGAACATTAGCTCCCAAAATACACGACATCCGTTTCCAACAGACCAAACCCCCTGCGCCGAGAACACTATCGAACAGGGTTCTCTGATCGAGGACACCATACCATCCAAACCATTTTCCCGTCCTTCCTTCCCCGGGAAGGTCCGTGATCGTTCTATCGTCCCCGGGCTATCCTCGGATGCTATGCTGCGGACCTGCTTTCGAATAGGGGAGATGATCAACCAGGCAGTACACTGTCTAAAGCATGAACAGGCGGTGGTCTTCGAGTTTTTCGCGAGAGTAACTTACTCAAGCCGTGAAAGCCTCGCAAAAAAGCAACATTTTCAATTCGTGGACCTGTTCACAGATCAGCAGCCGTATCCTGGCGGGACCCTAGCAAACTGGAGAGCCGGCGGCCAAATTGATCGACAGAGCATGACCTTCTTAGATAAAAGCACCAAGCGCAAAGTATGCCGCTGTCTGTGTAAACCTAAGAGAGACCGGAAAACAGAAATCGGCTTTACTCTAATTGTTCTCGCAATTAGGGAAGCCGACTGGCCACAGATCGAATGGGCTAAGAAGGTCGTCTGCGGAGAATCGGACGAGCAGCGCGGATTTGCTGTCGATGCCAAGATATGAAGGAAATGGAGGGCGTAGATGGCCTGACGGATACCTACCTAAGGGTAGCTTTTGCTATTGAAACGTGCATGGGGAAGTGGAGCGAGCTCTTGTAATTGTCGTACAGAATACCAATGCCAATCCGGAGAGCTGCATAAGGTACAGGCACAGGCAAGACGGAACTTGATTG